CTGACCCACAAAAGTTTATCATGCGTAATCTCCGCTCGATCGATGCTGCTTCCCTCCATGCTTTTTTACGAGCGTCGCTCGTTCATGTCGACTTTGACTTGGGCGGCCGGAGAGGTAATGTCCATGAGATTGCCCAATAACTTGCTGATTTGCTGCTTGCTGCTTTTGATATTAACGCACCCGCGCGACTTCGCACGGTTTCATCGCGTCGAAAACCCTGGGTCGATACTGACATCCGAGATTTGATATCAAATCGCGATCATCTTTACAGGATTGCCTGTCGGTCGCACTTACAGTCCGATATCAGGAGGTATCGCGCTTGCAGAGGAGAGGTTAAAGCAAAGCAAGTCCAAGCCCACCCCGTTAGACTGGAACCTGGTTGCAGGTCATAAGCAAGGTTATAAAAGGAAAAACCATAGCCCAAACGAAAACAAAACTGTCAAAAGAAGTTTTGTAATTCTTATGGATTACTGACTCAGCACGCCTGCGAGCACGAGTAATTCATTCGCTCCGCTAGACACTGAAGAAGCTACGGAAACCGCTGTAAATGATAAGACCATTGAAAGTGCTCAAAATGTCGAATTAGAAAACACAACGAATTTCAACAAAATACTGCCAAGCCCCCACCGATCTTCGTGAGCGGGGTAGAAAAAAATCTCGCACCACTTCGAAACATGCTCGAGATGACTGCGGCCAAAAACTACACGCTGAAAACATTAGCTGGCAGGCAGGTAAAAATTTTTCCCAACAACCCAGAAACATACGTAAGAGTAGTTGAGGAACTTAAGAAAAATAAAGAGCAATTCTACACTTATCAATCAAAGAGTGACAAAGGCTACAACGTCGTTCTTAGAGGCATCCACCCTTCGGTAGATCTAAAAGAATTGCAAGCGGAAATTGAAACGCATGGACACTCTATCATGCACATTTCGAACATCAGGCAAGCGGTAACCAAGATTCCCTTGCCACTGTTTTTTTTGGAAATAAAAGTTCAGTCGAACAACAAAGAGATTTTTAATCTCAATAAACTCCAAAATACAATTGTGAGCATTGAGCCCCCTCACAAAAAGAGAGACATTCCCCAATGCATGAACTGTCAAGACTACTGCCATACAAGAAAGTATTACAATAAATCACCTGTGTGCGTTAAATGTGCGCAACAACATGCAACGAAGGACTGCCCATTCACGGATAAAATAAAAAACTTCACGTGTGCAATCTGCAAGGGCAACCATCCAGCCGGCTACAAGGGATGTTCTGTGCGTAAGCAGCTACTGCAAAAACTCTTTCCCGCGTTGAGAGCTAAAAATCAAGAAAGACTCATCAACAATCCACACACTCAATATCAAGATAGAAACCTACGAAAAAGTAATGTATCCTACTCTCAAGCAGCGTCAGGAACAGCAGCAAGCGAGCAAGAAGATTCACCCCATTACGGCTCGCACGAGATGCTCAACAACAACTGAAGCGATCGAAGCGATCACAACACACGTGTCATAAACAAACTAGAAAACATGATGGAACAGCTGATGTCCACGATGGGCTCTGTGCTAAAAATGCTCACACTAATTTTAAATAAATTATAAATGGCTTCCGTCAGGCAACTTGAAATTGTTATATGGAACGCGAACGGCCTCGACCAGCGTAGTTTGGAATTGAAAACGTTCCTGATAACCAATAGTGTAGACATAATGCTCATCTCAGAAACACATTTTACAAGTAAAAACTACCTCAAGATACCTAAATACACGATATACCACACTTATCATCCCAGGCAGAGCGCGCGAGGGCTCCGCTCTAATAATAAAATCTTCCATAAGACATCATGAACTTGAAAAAAGCAGTGATGATTGTCTACAAGCTACTAGTGTCTCGGTAGAGGATGCCATGGGCCCTATAAATTTTTCTGCAATATACTGTCCTCCCGTGCATGTTATTAAGCAAGAGAAATTCGAAGGTTTCTTCAAGAAGCTGGCTAGTAGGTTCATAGCGGGTGGCGACTACAACGCAAAACACCCGTTCTGGGGCTCTCGATCGGCCACTCCGAGCCCGCGTGGCAAACAGCATCCGCCTCGAGCCGCTCGCAGCGCCAGGCCTCGAGGTGGTCGAATCAAGAACGAATGGATCTTTAATGTCTGCTACTCCAGTATAAAATGCATACAGTTTACGCAGATTGCACTAACATTTTTGATGGACAAAACAAATTACTTATAATTATACTCAATTACTTAATGAAAAATTTTTACCACTAATCATTAACCATTAAGCAATAGCATTTTATTATACACGGCCTTTTCCTTCGAAAAATGACCGTATTAATTGATCATGGACGTGATACTCTATACTGGGTTTTTGCCGATCACGCATTCGATTCCTTTCTGGCCAGAACCGATAAAACATGGCAAAGATTTAGTTCATAGTGGGCACGTTACCGACGTCAAAGAAGAATTTGGATGAAATAACACGAAAAGAATAAGCGCTTTATGCGTGAAAACTAAAAATTTATATGAATCTATAAATTACTATAAATTAGAACTTCACGTTAGTTATGCACAGCATATCTTTTTCATTTTAACATTTTTAATTAACTCAATTTAAATTTACTATAATCATGATTATTTTTACAGATTAATGAAAAAAGACACGTTACAGATGCTAAGTGTAATTGTCTAGCAGGAATTACCAAAGATTGCAAACATATTTATGCTCTCATTTTTTATATAAATAACAATCGAAGTATCAGTAAGACGTCTGTAGAGCAAGAATGGGGAAAACCCTCTTCAAAGCAAGCTGCCAAAGAAAAATATGCTAAAGCAGCCAAACTCGAAGATGTTTCTTCCGCAAAAAGACTGATTACTTCTTCAATTAAAATTAATGAGCCATTCGATTTATCACTAAGTGATGTAAAAAATTTAAATTGCCCACTTCGAAACTTTTTAGAATATAAAAATACAAACAAAGTGAAATTGTTAGCAAAAGAAATTTTAGAAGATATCATCAATGATGTTGTTAATAATAGTATGAATGAAAAAATTATTGCATGTGCAGAAAAATTGTTTAGAAATTCTTGGAAAAGCAATATTTATATCTCGCTGGACTTGTCAAAACTTGACCCCATTCTAAAACAATTTTATCACAGCAATGTAGTATTATGTGAAAAAGAAATCATTAAATTCTGCTTCGAAAGTACAAACCAAAGTAGTTGTGATGAATGGCATAGTGCTAGAAGTATTCGAATAACGGCTAGTCAAAAAGCTCACAAAGTTAAAGTTTGTTCAGAAAAAACACTTGATATTTTGGCTGAGAAATTTATTAAGGAAGACAATGTTCCTATACCAGTGAAAAAACGTAAAACCAAAAGTATTAGTGCACTAGAATATGGATTACAACATGAACAGGAAGCAATCAATTGTTATGCCAAAGACCAGCCTCTGCACATGAAAATTATTCAAATAGGTGCCTTTGTAATGCCTGGTGAACCTTGGATACTAGTCAGTGCAGATGCTATTAGTATCAATACTATTAATGGTGATATTAAAGTTGTAACAGTTTACCCTCGGGAGGCAAGTAAATTGTCCGGCAAGATGTCCGTTGTCCTGTAAACGGGGAACGAAAAAAAGGTGTGCCAAAAATAATCTACGCGATCATATAATGTATAAATAATAGTTCGGCTTATTTATTAAAAAGAGCGCCAGTCACGATAGTGACGCCTAAGAATACAGAATACAAGAAAGGTAAGAATTACAAATGTGCGATAATTGTTCGCTCGGCACGAAACATTCACCCGTACAATTATAACAACGGCAAAAGGCCACCACGGCTATTTCGGCAGATACGACGGTCGTGAGTTTGGGCTAGGCGGGGACAAGACCGAGAGAGACTGAGCGTGTTGAGAATACAATAATATGGCGCATATGGAGGAGAGAATCGAGAGACTCACATTCGTTGACTCCATGGTTTATTGGTGGTTGATTGGGCCTGACGAAGACTGCAAAAATAGCGAGGGCAGACGAGAAGGCAGCCAGATGTTGATGATCTCCAGGACGGCAGACTCACTCTCACACACGCTGGCCATCGCAGGTCCCACACGAGAGGGGTCGGTAGCTCGAAGCTATTTCACGCGAGGTCCAACACAGAGTGTTCACTTCATCAACTCCTCGTCGGCTCGTCAGTCATCATAGGCCTCCCTTTCCACTTGACAGGCTTTCGTCTGCTCATAAGGCAGCACGCGCAAGACCCATCTACGCACTTAGCATTGATCACGGCTCTCTCTCTCTGCAAATTCGGCGCTTATCGATAAATTGGCGCCGATCCGCATTACCATTAGGCTCGCTTATTTATGATCTCTCTCTCGGGTGGAAGGGATTCTAGCATACAATTTAAAGGAAGGAGTACCGTTGGACCCTGTGCTGGACTACTTCCTTACAAAGTAATAGAAGTAAAATGCCCAAGTAGCTATAGAAGTAAAGCAATTTACGATTCTTCTGCAAACAAGTGCAATGTTGGATATTTGAAAATTGTTGATGGAATGATAGAACTGCAAAAAAACCATCAATATTTCACGCAATGCCAAATTTTAATGTATACAACAGGTACATCTTCATGTGACTTTTTTGTATGGTCCCCAAAAGGTTCTTGTTTAATAAATGTTTTAAGAGATAATGACTTTTTGTCGGGTGTTATACCATCACTGAAAACATTTTATTTTACCAATTACTTACCATTAATATATAATAATTATAAAAAAACTTGATAAAGAGAATAATGTAAATTGAATAAATAACTATTGATAAAATAATTGAAACGAGTCATTTATTTTCAAAACCTTTATTATTAGTACAATTAATTATAAAATTCTGCTTTTATTATTGGAGGTTGTAAGTTCACTAGAACACAACACATAAATACTATACTATCAGCATGAGGTAACATTATATTTGTGAAATGGTCAACTACTTTGTATAAACGTATTCGCTGCATGGTCCTTTCTATGTGTATCCTTACTCTAGCAATGTTCCTCTGCTCTTCTCTTTGAACTTCATCCAGATGATGATTTTGAACAAAACTGTCAACACATGTTTACCATTTTGCATGAGTTTTTCTTGAATAGTTGGAAACCCCTTACCAGCCAAAATGATGTCACCACTTTCTAATAATTGCATAAGTTTAGATGCAGCAGTAATTTGAACATCACTAGCTCTGCCTCCATAGCCACCACTCATAAATGTTATTAATCCACCTGGCGTACATCCAATTTAACTTTACAATTAAACCAATTAACAACTTTATTCTGTATCCACTTTTGTAATGAGACCAGGTTTGAATTTGTTGATCTATATGTGGTGGTTGCTCTATTCTGAATTCTATAGCATCAATTATTATCCTGCAATTACTATTATCAGGTTTAAAACAGTCTGGTGTAGTTCCTCGCACTTCATCTTGTGTTGGCCAAGGCACAAACTCCTTGCATGCAATTGCTAAGAATTCTAAAAGCTTATAAAATATTGTGGACGCAGTTGTTCTATGTATACCGAAGAAAGAACTTATTGCAGAAAATGTCATTCCTGTTTTCATTCTCACAAGAAAGATAAGAAGCTTATTTTCTTGGCTTATACACTTCTTATTGTTGTCAAAAAAGCGACCACATTTACATTTCAATATCACTTTCAGAAGCAATTTAAAAACACCAGGACTGACCCCAGTTATGTATTCTAGGCTTTCTTCATTTAAACCGTCATAACCTTTGAAACCTCTGATGCCAAATACATCAAATAGTTCTGAAAAACTATCAATTGATTTTTCTGTTATTTTGGCATCACTTTTAGAACTGCTATCAGTCGATTCTGAACACTGGGTCTGTGCCTCCCAATTAATTTTACCATCGATAACTGCTGACTTTAAATTGCACAAAATAATGTTATGAGTTACTGCACTGCTACTTTCATCACTGAGTAATTCTTCAGATTCTACTTGAGTCATGACATCTTTCTTTAAAATAGAAGTATCGGCTACAGGCATTGGTACATGTTCAAAATTGTCAGTGTTCAAATCCAAATCTATTTCACTTAATGTTTTTATCTGGCTTTCATTCGTAGTTTGTGCTGCAGTCGAATGATTGCGTGTTTTATTTCTATTTATGAAACGATTATATCGTTCAATTGCTGCCTCAGGAAGAATAGAAATTTTCTTAAATCTAGGAAATACAGTTGGATTAAAACTGGGACTACGTGGATCTTCAGACTTTAAATTTCCAATGAAATGTTGATTGCAAATTCTATGATTTTTAGGCTCCCATGTAGGATCTAAATTATTGGATCTAACAGCTTGTATCCAAGCAGCTCGTCGATCAGATTTGTATTCATAATTCTTATTAGCAGCAGGAAAACGGTATAGCATAGCTCCTTTCTTCAAATTACTTTTACATTGATTCAAACAACACTTCATTTCAAAAAATTGCTTCAAATTGTTTTAAAAATTAATTAAAGCATAGAATTGTTACTTTAGTTGCACAGCACGATATACAAATAAAGCAGACTACTAGCCTCCATTTACTCCAAATTCTGCCGCTACCAGCCATGGCGCTACGAGCGGCTCGAGGCGGATACGAAGCCTTACAAAAAAAACAAGCTCACATCAATTTCAACAGGAGAGCCTACGTACTGGCCATCCGACATAGCAAAAACTCCGAACTTGATTGACTTCTTCGTCGCCAAAGGAATATCTCCTCACTCTTACGAGATTTGCTCGAGTCTCGAGCTCACGTCTGATCACTTCCCGGTGATCTTGACCTTATCTCTAGGGCTTAAAACAAACGAAGTAACCCAAAACTCAATCGGCTGGAATACCAACTGGGATATCTACAGGGCTTACATTAACGAGAATCTAAATTGCAACGTACCCCTCAAAAACAATGAAGACCTAGAAAATGAGATTGAAAAGTTCAATATATTAATACACGAAGCGTCTTCTATTGGCGCATCAAAAACGAGACCGGAACGAGTTGGCGAGCGACTTCCCGCGGAAATAATGTCTAAAATAAAAGAAAAGCGCAAGCTAAGGAAAAACTGGCAAGACTCTCGATTACAATAAAACAACGTGAAGCTAAATAAGTCGATCAAAGAACTCAAAAATATTCTCCGCAATTACAAACAAGAAAAAACTAAAACTTACCTTCAAAACCTTGCACCCACAGAAAGCACAAACTATTCACTATGGAAGGCGACTAAATACCTCAACCGACCTACTCGACACATTCCTCCAATGAAGATGAACAATAAATGGGCCAGAAGTGATCGTGATAAGGCGAAGATATTCGCTGAACACCTTTACGGAGTCTTCGGGACCCCTGATAGACAGATTACCGAAGTGGAAGAAAACCTGCTGCTTCAAGAAAGCCCGACACCGCGCCAGGAGGTGCAGATCAAGGGTGCGAACGCGAGAGAGGTACAAAATCTCATCAGAAAGCTTAAAGCCCGAAAGTCGCCTGGATACGATGGCATCACTGCTAAAGCTTTAATAGAGCTCCCCGCCAATGCTGTACGCTTCTTTACAATCCTGATCAATGCCTACTTCAGACTAAAATACTTTCCTAGTCAGTGGAAGGTGGCACAAATAATTTTAATACCAAAGCCAGGCAAACCGGTGGAACTGCCTACTTCGTACAGACCGATCAGTCTGCTGTCTATTTGTGCCAAACTCTGCGAGCAAATAATTAGCAGTAGAATAAAACCTATACTTCAGGAAAGAAAGGTGATCCCAGATCACCACTTCGGCTTCAGAGAGCAGCACTCCACCATAGAGCAGGTAAATAGGCTGGTCGCTGATGTCAGGAGAGCGTTTGAAAAAAAGCACCATTACTCAGCTGTGTTCCTGGACGTGGCTCAGGCCTTTGATAAGGTCTGGCAGGCGGGGCTGGTGCACAAAATCAAACTGAGCCTACCTACCGGCCACTATAAACTGCTCAAATCCTACCTGGAAAACCGAGCATTTCAAGTCAAAGTCACAATGAAGTAACTGACCTCTATGAGATCCGTGCTGGTGTCCCACATGGAAGTGTTCTCGGCCCGATCTTGTACTCCCTGTACACGGCTGATATCCCGACCTCACACGCAATAACTACCGCTACATACGCAGACGACACTGCGCTTATCAATTCCGACCCAAATCCGGAAATAGCCTCGATCAGACTACAGAGACATCTGTCTGTCGTAGAGAAGTGGTTTAAACAATGGAGAATAAAAGTAAACGAGACAAAATCTACGCACATCACGTTTACTCTTTGTAGAGATTCACGTCCCAGTGTTCTGATTAACGGTTTTGCTATACCACAAGCAGACTCGGTCAAGTACTTGGGCCTGCATCTGGATCGTCGCCTCACCTGGAGGACACACATTTGGAGCAAGAGAAAGCAACTGGACCAAAAACTCAGACAGATGTACTGGTTACTGGGCAGAGGCTCAGCTCTATCGTTGGAAAACGGACTTCTCCTATATAGTCTGCTGAAACCTATATGGACTTACGGAATTCAGCTCTGGGGAGCTGCTTCTAGAACCAATATCGACATAATCGAGAGATTCCAGTCAAAGGTCTTACGCAGATTGGTCAATGCCCCGTGGTTCGTGACCAACGAGGCTATTAGAAATGATTTGAAACTCCCTACAGTCCACGAGGAGATACAGAAACTCTCAGCTAAATACAAGGACCGCTTAGGACTCCACCCCAACGCCCTGGCAGCAAAAATTAGTCGTGTCTCTTATGAAGGCACAAGACTGAAAAAGCACATGTACATATGAACGCGCAACATAATCACATAATCACTAAAATATCCATAGAAATTTATTGTAAACCATAATTAAAGGTACACTAAAATAATTGAATGTAACTCCAATAAGAGCTAGCTTCAAAGGAAACTAGCTCACACACGCTCCCATGTACACATTATAAAAATTTACTCATTGTCTCCATCTAGACAGATTGTAAATTTAAGAGGAAAATAAAAAAAATATATATATATCTTCATCCTATCACATCACACTATTATTATCGCTCCTCACTCTCTCCATTAATTCATATCTCATGTCTGGCTGCCTGTTGGCTGACATGATTGAGCTAACCTGTTTAGCTTAAACTGCGCTAAAAAGCTCTCAAGTAGGGCTAATCTTATTGTACATTACTAAAATCAATTCGATTTGTTTGTTCTCATTCTAAGAAACATTTTAAAAGAAATGTAATTGCCTTTGTGTAACACATCGTGCCAGATGAGGCTTATCCCGAGGCCTAATAAACAATCTATACAATCTATACAATCTATACAATCTTAGGGTAAAAATTTGAATTTTGCGCGGGTGAAAATTCAAAAATTCTTAGGGTGAAATTTTTCATTTTGCGTGGGTAAAAATTTGAATTTTACGTGAGTGAAAATTTGAAAATTTTCAGGGTAAAAATTAGAATTTTGTCAGGGTAAAAATTTGAAAATTTTCAGGGAAGCACACAGTGCTTTTAACCCGTTTCGGGTCAAACGGACGAAATTTTAATTATTTTTTCATTCGCTGTAAACTCTGTGAAAAAATTATGTGAGAAATGTCAGAATAGTCATAACCGACGTAAAACTTTATGAACTTTTCGAATCTGGCATCAGAATTGTCAAAAAAGTTGATGTGTAAAAATTATGAACAATTAAACAATAAAAAACACAATTTTTTTGAAAAAAAATTTGATTTGATCCGAATTTTCGAGTCGAAACAGACTTGCTCTATAGGTCTTACACGTTTTTTTTGCGTCCATGGGGTATAGACTTAAAAGTCCAATAGTTACGATCTCGAAATTTAACATGGCGGACACGAAAATGGCGCTTCGTAGAAAAAAACCGTATATGAACGTAGTCAATTTTTTTATATATTAACCAAGCGCCTAGGAAAAAAACTTTATAGAGAAAATGTTGAATTTCGATATCGTAACTATTGGACTTTTAAGTTTACACCACATGGACGCAAAAAAAACGTGTTAGACCTGTAGAGCAAGTCTGTTTCGACTAGAAAATTCGGATCAAATCAAATTTTTTTTCAAAAAAATCGTGTTTTTTATTGTTTAATTGTTCATAATTTTCACACATCAACTTTTTTGACAATTCTGATGCCGGATTCGAAAAGTTCATAAAGTTTTACGTCGGTTATGACTATTCTCACATTTCTCACATAATTTTTTCACAGAGTTTACAGCGAATGAAAAAATAATTAAAATTTCGTCCATTTGGCCCGAAACGGGTTAAATATTGTACGGTAATCGTGGCATGGGGACCTTTTCGACCTAGCTATTACCAACCGTGCCAAGACGTATTACTTATGCCACTTGCATTGTAACGTACTGTTTTCTAGACTCATCGGCATACATATTTTTTCGTAATGTTATGATTTTCCAATTACTCGGTTATTAAAGTGAACTAAAAATTACGTCATATTTTTTGCCGGACAAAAACTGAGAAAGCAATTCAAATTATTAAATGAAAAAAAAACTATTGAAAAAATATAAAGTAAATCGTAACTAAATTTGTACTTATGAACGAGTAAATGCTGTTCATATACGAGTCGAAAATAACGATGCTCTTACGTGATCATGTATGCGTGAAAAGTCTGGGGATCAAGAAAGATAAGAAGCTTGCTGATAGTATATAAATACGGGAGGTAGTTTGAAAATCTTAAAAGCCGATGAATAAGCTCGTGCAGCACGAGGTAAATAACACCAGCACAAAAGTACGCGTTAGTTGAACTACGAAGCTCTCACTGTAGAGGCTGAAATTTCAACGTAAAAATTTTTGTATATTTAAAAGACGAATCAAATTTGGCGAAGGTTGACTCTGAAATTTTTTGTTTAACAAATAAAATGTTTAGAGTCGATTTTATTTTATTAGTATAAAATGTAACGATATGAGTAATATAATTCGGTTTTTCCGTATGTTATTAAAACATCAAAAACTAATTTTGAACTCATTAGAAGAGTGGAAATTGAAGTTGTGGCTCGAGCACATAGCAGATAGAAACAGACTGAAAAAATTAAAAGTAATCGTGTAGCATTTTATCACTGAACAAAATAAACTTATTGCTTATGCGACTTTGTGCGCATATCCGTTCATATCTATATAGCTTTAAATATTAATAAATGTATATGTGGCCATAATAGCCGAGGCCAAATAAAATACGACTTTCCCATAACGCACTCGGACATACTGGAATATCCTTCATTATTTACGCTCATGGCATTTACTTCCCCAAAGGCGTTGGTTGCAGCAGCAGCAACGACGGCTTATTGAAAGTCATCTCCCTCTCGGCATGTACCCAGCCACACATACAGCCGAGTAAAAATATATAAAAATACACACAGAAGCACAAGTTAATCAAAAGTGACTGCATCTTTGCCCTTTTGTAGAGGGCCAGTAGCGTGCATAATGCTTGCCTACGAGTATTATAGATTATTCCCTCTTTTCCTCGCTCTCCCGTTTCCGTTTTCTTTTTCTCCTCTTTTTTTTTTTACCAGTACCACCTGACAGCACAGCTCGCGCGCGCGCCTCTACTCGATGAGAAG